AATGCCCTGTGGTTTCAAGTTCTTCCTTTAGAACCACGCAGTGCCGTGACAATTTTGCATCACATTTCTATATCCCTTGAAACCCAGACGAATTAGTTGATAGTATTGTGCAATGATCGGGCTAGACCTTTAAAATTTGAGTAAACAAATGCCATCATCTCACATGGGTGGAATTCAATTCAATTAAAGTTCTTACCCTTGGAGAAATTGAGGGTGAATGTGGGCTGACAAGATAATTGATGTGGAAAATGAGCTCTTCAAGTAAATCCTCCTTGGTTCTCCAAATGACCCAACCAATTCTGGCGTAGACAAGCCCATACTTGTGGCCACTCACATTGAAGTTCTTCACCAACGGAAGCCTGAAGTCTCATTGTAGCTCTGGGTATAGAAACGACGATGTGAACCCATTGTTGGCTGCATCCACGTGAATGAGAGGGTTCGGTCTGGCCGGCGCTGGTTTTTCCAATTCGGTGGCTAGCCTGTTCGGGTGCTTGTTGTCGACCCGTCTGTGGCAGTGTGGTTTCTGATTGGTTCGCTAACGGTAGCTAACGATGGACAACGACGCTGAAACTCGGGAAATTGAACAATTTGACCTAAAAAAGTTTTAGGTTTTGCTCAAATGACCCAACTATTAAAAAAAAAAAACTCACTCTTTTAACCTAAATTCATATTTTAGTTATTTGCAAACAACGTGAAATTACAAGGAAGTCTCTCAAGATCATTACACTCCTCTTTTCTTTTTCTCTCACTGTTTTTTTGAATCTCTCTCTTTTTGCATCAAGATTGCAGATATTCTGAGATTATAATAGATTTTCACGATTTTCCTCAATAGTACAAATTTTCTAGGAGATTTTTGTTGCCATATTTTGTCTACAGTTTTGAATCTTCGAGATAATTTGATTTTATTGATTCACAAATTAATTAAATTATCTTAATCCTGACATTTTATAAGTAAAACGATTTGTTTTCTTCGATTGATAGATTTGAGGATTTAGTTTTCAGTTGAGAGATTTTCAGGGATTGTTTGATTTGAGGATTTTGTATGAAACCTGCTCGAGTTCTATTCGATTCATGCTCGAGTTTTGTTCGATTCACGCCCGAGTTCGCTCAATTCACGCCCGAGTTCACTCGATTCACGCTCGAGATTGTTCGATTCACGCTCGAGATCGTTTAATTCACGCCCGAGATCGTTCGATTCACGCCCAGGTTCTGTTTAGTGGGAGAGCTCGTAGCACCACTATGAGTCTCTATTGCGAGGGAGTTCGTACGGGACTGTGGGTCATCTATCGCTGTCGAAACTCAGTCTTGCGGCCGCTACGTTGCATCACTGCTATTGGGTACTCGATTGCTAGCGACATTGCAAGATTGTGTGAGAAGAGAGTGAGATGGAGAGAATGGAGGGGATGGAGAAAAGGGAGGGCGGCTGGTGTCTTGGTAGGAGGGAGATGAAAATGAAGAGGAATCGTTTGAGAAATCCTTTCAACTTCCACGCACAATCAGGGAATAAGAGAAAAAAAGGCCCTAAAATAGTTACATTTAAAATGAGGGGTATAATAGTAAATTTACATTCTTTTATTTTTTTTAAATAATCACATAGGTAAAAAAAGTGAATTTTCCAATTGTAGGCCATTTCAGCAAAACCTAAACTTTTTTAGGTCAAGTTAGTCAATTTCCCCTGAAACTCACCGGATGTCTACAGGATAAGGGGAGAGAGAAAGGGAGAGGTGGGAAAGAGGGGAAGAGAGAGAAAGAAAAACAAAAAGAAAAAGAAAAAATAATATAAAATTAAACTGCTACTTTTATAAATATTTTCTAAAGATCAAAGACTAAACGGTCGCTTTTTGAAATTGGAGACTAAATAGAAACCTATCTCCAAACTCAGCTACTAAAAAGTGTATTTTCCTAATCTTAAAAGTGGGAAATTGACCAAGTTGACCTAAAAAAGTTTAGATTTTACTCAAATGACCCAACTATAAAAAAACTCACTCTTCTAACCTAAATTCAGTTTTACTTATTTGCAAACAATGTGAAATTACAAGGAAGCACCTCAGGACTATTACGCTCTCCTTTTCTTTTTCTCTCTCTGTTTTCTCGAGCCTCCCTCTTTTTGCCTCAAGATTTTAGATATTCTAAGATTACAACCGATTTTTCCTATTTTCCTCAAACTACAGATTTTCTAGGAGATTTTTGTTGCCATATTTTGTTTACAGTTTTGAATCTTCGAGATAATTTGATTTAATTGATTCACAGATTACTTAAATTATCTTGATCCTACATTTTTTTTATAAGTAAAATGATTTGTTTTCTTCGAGTTTCTATTGATCAATTTTCCTGCTACTAAAGTGAGCAATTTTCCGGCGGCTGAAGGGATTGTGTGGTTGTCGATTAAGATTTGATTTTCAGGGATTTTCAGGGATACCCATTCATGCCCGAGTTTGTTCAATTCACGGTTGAGTACACTCGAGATCATTCAATTCATGCCCGAGATTTTTCAATTCACGCCCAAGATCGTTCAATTCACGTCGAGATCCTTCAATTCACGCCCAGGTTCTGTCTAAGTTCTGTTCAGTTCATGCCCAAGTTTGTTCAACCGTGAGAAAGCTCGTAGTGAGATTGCGAGATTGCAAGAGTGAGATGGAGAGCTAGAGAAGAGAGCGAGATGGAGAGCGAGAGAACGGAGGGCGACTGATGTGTTATTAAAAGAGAGATGAAAACGAAGAGGAACTGTTTGAGAAATCCCTTTCAATTCCACACGCACAATCAGGGAATAAGAGAAAAAAAGTCGTAAATAGTTACCTTTAAAATCAGGAGTATGATAGTAAATTTACATTCTTTTTATTTTAAATAATCACATGGGTTAGAAAAGTGAATTTTCTAATTACAGGTTATTTGACTAAAACCTAAACTTTTTTAGGTCAAATTGGTGACTGTTACTTTTAGAACTCCAAAGATCAGAGACTAAACTGTCACTTTTTGAAATTAGAGACTAAATAGAAACCTATCTCCAAACTCATCTACTAAAAATGTATTTTACTCAATCTTAAAAGTTATTTATGTAATTAGGTTCTTATAACACGCCATATATGTAAACCCTATTTTCTAAACTTTGTTGTTTAAAAAAAAATTCTAAACTTTAGAAGCTAGAATTGTTTGATTCCGGTAGTCAAAAAAAGAAAAAAAAATAGTACATTGATTGTCTATTTATAGACTATAATTACATAAAAGGATTCGATATATAAAATTTACACTTTTGTCATTTAAGATGGTACCCATCACCAATTTACTATTATATCCTTTTGTATTTACACCTAAATAATAATTATTTTTTGAAATTCAAAATTTGTTATTTGGAGAGTTACATTTTTCCAAAAATAAAAGTTACGAAATCCCCAAAATATTACCCAATTCCGCAAAATCCTCAATTATTGCAAATTTTCGAAATAAAAACTCCTCTTTTCGCCTTTCTTCTTTGTGTCTCGTTTGCTCTCCTTCCACAAACACCATTGTTTCCATCCATTCGAGCTTCTTCTTCGTCGTCGGAGCAGACCGTTATAGCTTCTTCTTCGTCACCAGTCGCCCTTCGATGGTTTGAGCACTTCATTTATCCTGAGATTTGTTTAGTCTCCTACCGGAAGACCATAACAGACTGTTCGAGCTTCTTCTTCGTCGTCGGCTGCCCGTCGACCGTCCGAACCCTCTATTTATCTCGAACATTGTTTAGTCGTCGACTGRAATGAGTAAAAAAAATGGAGTAATGTTTCTCTCGCCAACATCTCTCATTCTTTCCTTCTGGTTAAAGTCCAAAATTGGTGATGAGATTTTGTAGATTGACTTTCTTCCTTGTAGTCTTTGCCTTCTTCCTTGATTGGTTTAGTTGTATATTGGGTTAAATAAAAATTAGCCCAGTCATAAAATTTGTTTACTGAAAAGTAATTTTTTTTTTTGAAGATATTGACTTGGGTATATTGGTTTAAATGTATAACTAGTTAGAATTCTTTAGTCGTAAGTATTAACTAGTTTGAATTAGAGTATTAACTAAAGGAGATAGTTATAAGTAATTTGAAGAATATGTTAAAAATATTTTGGTGTGTTTAGGGCCATCGAATCCCAAGAACTCGAGCATCTTTAGCATCAATTGGAGACATCTTTGATAACATATATATCATATGAATATATAATTTATCTACACATAAGTACGAATTGGGTGGTTATAGGAATTCAATAACCGGAAGCTATATCCTACCTTAAAGACATATATATACATAATGTTAATTATTTCACTAATAATAGTAGATTTCAAAAGTACAAGTAGAATATATGTTATAACCTATATATAACATAAACATAAAAATGAAATAACGAAAAAATATGAACATAATTAAATGTATAATAAGAAATATACATAGAGAGAGAGAAATTGTAATTTAAAAACAATAACATTCATTCGTACCCATATTTCTTTCGATATATAGATAAACTGTCTTTTCTTCTCTTTTCAATATTGACGTCAATCAATTCATGCTTCTCATTACTTATCTTATGCCAAAGGATTATCGCAAAAGGAAATAATAATAATAAATAATAATTTCAAAACTTTTGTCAGCATTAAGAAACCATAATTCCCTCTCTACCACCCTCTTCTTTCTAATTGCCTAGTCCCGAGGTAAACTTTCTATACTTAGAAAAGCAAATAACAAATTTGTATCTTTTTGTAATTAATAATATTGGTAAATCGTGGGAAGAAATCTTTTTGAATAAATGAATTAAAGGATGAATGTTGAAAATTTGTATGATGCCCACACTAATTAAAAGATTATGATTACAATTTAAGGATTTAAATATTTTAGATTTCTAAAAAGAAATTAACTATAATAAATATAAATATAATAAACAAGAGTAAAATCGATATTATAAAAAAATTCTACAACGTAAAATTCAAGCTCTATTAAAATAAATTTTTAAAAAACTCTAGAAAGCACATTACTTAAAAAAAAAAAAAAAGAATTGTTCGAGTCCGGCCCACATTGGAAGATCGGAAGAGAACCCATTTGTCCTGTGGAGCAGAGTTTGTTCATCATAGTTCTTCTTTGCAATTTGCGAGACGCCCATTGATTCGCAGTTAAGAGCAGGAACCGGAGACGACGGGCAAAGAGAGCAGATCAGTATGGAAGTCCAGGGCTCCTCGAAGAAGATGATAGCGACGCAGGCTGAAATGGTCGAGGCTAGGGTTCCAATTCCTTACAGAGACCAGTGCGCTCACTTGTTGATCCCTCTCAATAAGTGCCGCCAATCCGAGTTCTACCTCCCATGGAAATGCGAAGACGAGCGCCATTCCTACGAGAAGTGTGAATATGAGCTCGTGATGGAGAGGATGCTTCAGATGCAGAAGATCCGCGAGGAGGAGGCCAAGTTGAAAAAGGGTATTCCTCTCATCCCCAAAACTGCCAATGTATGACGCCAATCATCATCAGTTAGGTTCGTTTTCTCTCTCTCTTTAATTTTCTCAAACATTGATTCTCTTGTGTTTTCATTTTTACCGTGTCATGGGTTTCTCACGATCTGGGTTCGATCGTTAAAATTTCTGTAGTTTTTTGTTTTGTTTTAGAGCTTTAATGTCTCTGAGCTAATATGGATGAAGGCGTCTATGAAATTCAATTCCAACTTTTATGTAGCAATTTGTGTGGGATATCGAATAATTTGTAACGGTGAAACGTACCCTTGATTGAGTTTGTGCTCAATATGGGGATTCTTTTCTTCTCTCTTTCTTTTATTTATTTATTTATTTTTGGGTGGTGGGGGGGCTGGAGATGATCAGGAGTTGGATTCAGTTTTTATGGTACTTGGAACGAGCTGTACTGCTCGTTCTTATCTACTATCAACCTCTAGTAGTTATACTTAGACAACATAATCGATTAAAGTAGTGAAACAAGTTCACACACAATCTTCCTTCAGTGGAATGTGGATATAAATGTACATCTAAAATAGAGACGCCAAAATCAGACTCGGAGGAATTAAAACAATTTGAGATTTGAGATTAACTGATTAATCAGGAGCATTTTCTGTTTCCTAAAATAAAGTAGATAAAGGAAGACCATTATTTCCCAAGTTAGGGTGCTTGGCGCTTCAAAGTGAACCAGTTTTCCCAAGCTTGGGCTCTGAAAGTGGAAGGTCCTAATTAGTGAAAACAATTCTAAAATTGATGAAGTGCTTTAATGACAACTGTGGGGTATATCATAAATCTTAATTCTAAAGAGTTATAGAGACTTTTAGGTCCAATGTCGGTGCCTTTTTATATTCATTTGGCTTGGGCACTATGAAATGAACCTACTCGATTGATCACTTCAGATAGGTTCATTGATCATTTCTTCTTGGCTGCTTTCCTTACAATTGAAACTAAAACCAATGTATTTAAAGGCTTTGAGGTTTACACCTTGCAGCTCGTCTCGAGGTGGGGCTCAAACTTTTAGCTTCGGAACTTATGCTTTCTTCGCATCATAAGAGACTCGTGCCTAAAGTCCTTGGAACTTGCCTCATGAAATAATTAGAAGAAACATAATAATTTGCCTCTTTTTTTCAAGAATATAAAGTTCTCTTGGCATGTTAGTTGTGGTAATTTTGCCTAATGCTACTTTTACTCCCTAGCTTAAAAAAACTCCTCGAGTGTTTAGGCCAGCTTGTGCGGACTTCGACTAATCTCATAGGACAAATGTTGACCCTACTACGTTTGGTTGTAAAGATAACTTAGTAGAATATTAAATCTTAGGTAGGTGGCCACCATGGTTTGAACCCATTTCCTCTAAGCCCTTTACTATTTATATTGGTTCTTATTGATCACTAGGCCAAAACATGATTATTTCTAGCTTAAAAAACATTGAAAACAAAATTTTAAGAATAAGTTGATCCTGTTAGTGATAATAATGATGATGTTAAGAATGTCACTTTGGAGTCGTTATTAAAGGAAGTGTCATACATTCATTATGTTTAGTAGTACTTGATTATACAATTTTATGATATATATATATATATATTTATTTATTTATCAAAATCGAGCCTCATGCTTCATATTGCATTGAGGCTTATCCCTTGTCTCTTCAAGAGCAAAAGCTTTGAGGCCGCTTTAACCCATTTAAATATTGACTACATTACCCAAAATTTTCTTGGAACTGCATATTAACATTATGGGAGGGTATTTTTTGTTTTAGTTCTACTATAACGCTGCATTGTTGTTCACTTCACCGATTCCTGAAGTTTTAAATATTAGCTTTAGTTTATCTAATATTGGTTGTTTTAATTCATTTCCAACCAAATAGTCCATAGAAAGGATTTTAACGCATTAACCCAAAGCTTCTTAAGTCTTACAATGAATGAGATTCTACACAAAAATTGCTTCACATTTTCTCTGTACGAATGATGAAAAACCCAAGAGAACTTGATTGCAACAAAGAGATCCACATTTTCTAGGGTACGTTTCTTCTTTGGAAATAAGTTTTAGGTATGGTTAAGGGTTCAAATACATTGAAGAGGAGCTTTGTCTTCGCCAATCTTAACTCTTTCTACATTTGATTCAAGGTAGTAAAGCGTGCACCCATTCTAAGAGCTGATTAGTAGATGATATAGACAACAACCCCTCCTCCCTAGTTCTCCCCAGTTCAACTAGAGGTCAACAATCACATGGAGGAACCTATTTTTGGGATTTTTTTTTCCTTTTTTTCTTCTTTTTTGTTATTGATAAGGAAACTGAACATTAGGAAAAATTAAAGAATATACAAGGGCATTAAAAAGAAAAAACAGCCCAACAAAAGGAGCCCAAACTTATGGCAAGAGGCTTCAATCCAAAAATCTCACAAAGAGGTGTTAAATCTAATGATATTATTAATTTCCATCCACTATCTCTCATCCCCTCTAAAAGTTCTGTTGTTTCTTTCTAGCCAAGTATTTCACAAAACATCAAGGAATCACGTAACCATGAAATTTGCCCTTACCACGAAAGGAAGGATGTAGTAGAACCTCCTCCACCATTGATCGACAACCTTTGTAACACGCCAAAGAAACCTCGAAACACTCTAAAAAGCGAAACCAAATTGATTGAGCGAACCGGCAACTCCATGGGATATGATCAAGATCCTTCGATTCACCTCTACAAAGGATGCACCACTTAGGCCCCATAAAGGAGGGAGAACACCTTTGAATGCGATCCGAGGTACTGACTTTCCCATGCAAGACCGACTTGCGATCTTCTTTTGGATT